GGCCCAGCCGCCCAATCAGCAGCCACACTCTGCATGGAAGGGAGGGAGGGAGAAAAAACCCCCGGACATTTTAACCTTGTTACCAATTCCTCCCGGACGGCTATTTAGAGACGCAAAAGCCGGACATGTCCGGGGAAATACGGACGGATGGTAACCCTAGTTATAAGGGCTCAGGTTCATCCCAGAGGTCCAGGTTTCTTGCACCTCAGAGGTGGCAACCCCACACTGGGGTGGAGCATGCTCAGGCAGTGAGGAGCCTGGATAAAAGAGCAGGATCTGGACTCCCAGGGAGGAACGGAGCCAGGGAACATTCAAAGGGAGGAAAGGTCAGGCCTGAGGCGGGCAGAGTGGGTTTTCACTTTTACTTTGGGGTTGGTTTTGCTGGGGCATTCCAGGGGGATCCCTGCAAATTCCTGCAAGAAGGGCGAACCGACAGGCCTGGGTGGTAGGAAGAAGTCCAAGGAGGTGGCAGCAGGGAGTTTGGTGGAGTGAACCTTGATTGTCTGTCCTGGGCTCCCTGGCCTGGAACACAGTGTAGAGGGCGGGCCTGGGGTCACCTACCAGCCACTCATGAGGTGGCATGAAGCCTCTGAGGCAGGAATATGGACTACGGCAAGCCCTGAGACAAGGGTGTATGGACCACAGGGCCCCGAATCAAGGGTGGCAGATGTGACTCAGGGAGCGGACTCTTGGTTTAGTTGGACTTTGTTACCCTGGAAGGCGTGGGACTGAATGTGACCTGGCCGAAGAGCTGAGTCATGAGAAAAGGTGAACCACCGTAGGACCTGGGTGCCATAGGCAGGGGGCACAGGGGAGGAGAGCCAGCTATGCCACGCCCAGCCAGGAGTCCACCCTTCCACCGTTAAATAATCAATGGATGTTTATGGTATTCAGCTTTGGGATGCACAACTGCTGCAGGCAGTAGCATCCAGTTGGGAGGGATAGTAGTAATGGAGGTATTATTTATGTGGGAGGCAATGTGGTATCGTGACTAGAGCCCTGGACTGGGACTCACAAGACCTGGGTGACCTTGGGCAAGTAATTTCTCATCCCCGTGCCTCAGTTTCCCTATCTGTAAAAGAGGGATAATGATGCTGACCTCCTTTGTACAGTAATTTGAGATCGACCGATGAGAAGCGCTAGAGATGAGCGTAGAGAGACAAGGTGGGTGAGGTAATATCTGTTACCGGACTAACTTCGGTTGGTGAGAGAGACAAGCTTTTGAGCCAGGCCGAGCTCTTTGTCAGGTCTGGGAGCTCTGTGTGGCTTGAAAGCTTGTCTCTCACACCAACTGAACAAAGTTAGTCCAATGACAGATATTACCTCACCCACCTTGTCTCTCTAATATCCTGGGACCGGCATGACGACAACTGCACTGCATAGATAAGAGCCTGGCATTGTTATTTTTATTTATTGTTTGTATTATGGTAGCACCTAGGAACCCCATGCCTGGACAAGGTCCCATTGCGCTAGGCACTTCCAGTGATGATAATTCCATGTATTTATAAGGCACACACCACTCAGTACCTGCTGTTACTAAGGCGGTACGTGTTTTATTCATCTCTCTGCTGCTTCTCGACAAGAATAGAACGGTCTCTTTTAAAGGTAACTTTTACTTTTATGGCACATTTGATACAAATCAGACCTTACCCCTGATCATGCTGCTTCTGCAGAAGGGGGTGGTGGGGTGTATGGCACATCAGAGTGGGTTGCAGAAGAGACCGTGCTCGGCATCAGACCAGCTTAGACAGCAGCAAAACAAGTGCTGCTTTATGCAAATCCTCAGCATCGCATCGCCATCTTAGGCTTTGATTCAGCAAACCACTTAAGCAGGTAGGCAAGTCCCACCAGTTCAGTAGGATTGAAGTAGCTCTGTAAGTGCTTTCTAAATCAAGGTCTTAGATCTGTTGTTCTCCACCCTTTGCCTTCCTCTCCAAGCAGAATTAGGTTGTGTAAGATCCAAAATAAAAAGAACATCAGAAATCTGGAGAGGTAATGGGGTTCTGCAGGCTGCGACAGGTGAATAATATACTATCTCCTGTAGGGATGAAACCTACCTTGAGCTGGTGAGGGTCTGGAAGATGTAGATGGAAAGAGGAATTAATTGGGAAAACGTTCAGTGAATCCCATTATAAGTAGCAAAAGCTGGGGAAAATATAACTCAGATACTTAAACGTTTGAATCTGAATCAGCTTCGTCCTTTAAAACAATTAACTGGGGTTTCTTTTAGTCATTCATCAACATCTACTCCAGGAAGAAGGCTGTTTCCTTTCTCATCTGTAATGGAAATGTGACTGAGCTGCTGCGGAGACAAGCTGATAGGCGTGGGTGGAGATAAGGACTTCTTGGTGATGGTTAAGCTGAAGCCGCTCATGAGGTTTTATGCTCTGAGTGATCACAGCCTCCTCTCTTGGCTACTTAGCTGTTTATTTAAAAATTCAGAGAATTCCACTTCATTTGAAGTGACTTGAGTACGGAGTTCCAGTTAGACGCCAGGGTCGTGTTCTGACGCTGTTGCTGTCTCCACCAAGAGACTGCTTGTGTGAGTTAAGATTGTGATCAGTAAAGATTTTGGGACTGGGCTAAAATGCAAATGCAATCACCTCTGGGGTGGAGTGCTCAAGGCGTAGGTGAGGCAGCCATCTTCTCCTCACTGAAAGTGCCAGGGGACCTTGAAGACGTACCTGGCCCCTGAGTTTTCATCCAAAAAAGTCAAATTCTGAAGCCAGAGATACTGACCTTTAACTTGGCTTTAACCTTTAATGGGCTTTAACTTGAGAAGTAGAGTGTGTATGTGTGACACAGAGAGCGCATGCTTTGCTCACCCCGTGTGCATGTAATTTTCTCGGGCACGCCCTCTCAGGGGGAGCATGTACACATGTCCTAACCTGGATTTTAAAAAGGGAGATAGGTCCTGAACCTGAGCAAAGGCCTGCTGGTCTGCACCCTGCTCCATCTCTTTGCAAATTCTCTTTGTAAATCATTTGCTCCATTGTTTGCTTGGGGGTTGTTTAGCGCGGGAGACCTTGACACACGATGGAAGAAGCCAATCAAATCAATTTAACTGGGCTTTTGCAGCCATTGGGCAGTGTTCCACAGGCCCTGGATGTGATGGTGAAATAAGTAGATGGTACCGGAGAGATCCAGTAGCTTTGACCCGCTCAGCTCAGGGCAATGGGTCTAGCAAAATCACATTCCCGTTCTCGCTCAACAGATCAGCCATCGCTGGTGGCCATTCTCACCCCTGTCAGCCATAATAATATTAACGGTGACAAACTGACAGTGAGGCATTAGTGGAATAATGGGCAGTGATGTCTTGGTTTTGTGTCCAAGCACCGTAGGCCTTTCCAAACGGAAATGACGTTCTCAATGGCCACAGACAAAGCGCAGGAGGTTGAATTGTTTATAAATCTAAAATGACTTTGCTTCACTTGCAAGATTATGGACTGAGGATCCAAATTCGCTTGCCGCTAACGGAGAAAATATTCGTTTGTTTAGATGTGGTGATGGCTCCCCGGCCCCAGTCCCACTGGAGTGTCCCAGACATTCCCTGCTCTGGTTTGTTGATTGCCAAGGATCTTAAATCATGGTCGGCTGCCCTGTTGTCACTGCGAAGTGGTGGCCGTTCCAAGTAGTTTGCACTCTTCCCCTGTGCCAGCACTGAACCAGTGCCTCAGTCTGATGTACCAAGGCCCCTTCATTGGTGGAGGTAGCAGCTCTCAAGTTGCATCAAACAAAAATCTGGCCCTGGGGGGGGGCATCCTAGAGCCCAGGACACTTTTCACACAAAAAAGGGAGGTGTTAGCCCCACATGTACTGGCTAAATTCCCCCTCAGCTATTGCTTAAAATACTCCCTTCAGCCTCTGTTGCTTAGGATGTTCTTCACTTCACGTTCCCACTGTTGTGTACTGTTTTTGTGCACTGTTAAACAGCTGGCATGTCTCTCCCCAGAGTAGGCTGCATTTCAAGAGGGGTGCGAAATGGTCTGTATACACCTCCCAGTTCGTCTTTGCAGTGCCCCAGTGTTGTGATGCAGGTGGGGTGGGCTAAGCAGGGCAGGCAGAGAGGAGAGGGACTTGGGTACAGGTATTGATATAAGTACCTGGATGGATAGCTTTTTACACCTGGAATGTCCTTGGAACAAGCCAGCGTTACTCACTGCGCAAACTGACTTTCAGACCAGAGCTGTCAATTGGCCTGGGTTGAGCTCTTTTAATAAGCAGCTGTTAGTCCTTATTAAATTGCATGTCCCCAGATGTGTGCTGCGTATCTAAGCACATTGTAATGAATTGATACTGCAATGTGATTAACACGCTCACAAAATGCTCTGCTGTTGTTTTGCCCCTGAAATACTGACATCTGTGCCGGGCATTCCCCAGGGATGTTGCTAACAGCGTTCCCCTATGCTATGCCCTCACTGTCAAAGCAAAGGTACTTCAACCTATGAGCCCCTTCCCAGTTTCTTTTCTTTCTCAGGCCTGTGCAGGTGCTGGTCTCTGTCTGGTCGTGTCCAGGCACGGGAACGCACACAGCTGTAAATCGAATTGCCCAAGGAAGGCTTTGGTCCTTCAGTCCAATGTCAAATTGAAAGCAGGATTTTTAAACATCACTTATCTGAATCCAAAAGAGCAGAGAACTCTGCTTTCTCTGGGTGTAAAATTCAGCTCTCCCATGCAAAGAGCGTGGAGATTGTCCAGAGGCATGGGCCGATGCCAACTACACTGCACTAGCTCATGGGCGACAGACAAGTTTCCGTTGAAAAAAAAATAGTTTTTTCCATTATGTGGTTTATTTAGAGACTGAATCGCTCTGGCTACTCCTGAATCAGCGTCAGAGCATGAGCTGGGTCCGAATGGTTCTTACTTAGACAAAAGCTCCTTTGAGATCGAGCGGCGTTTCACCTAAGGAAGGGCTGCAGGATTGGGCCCCGTAGGTGACCCGAATGTTGAGAGAAATCGGTGGGAAAGACATAGCTCAACACCCCAGAAATGTTCCCTGGTTGCCCACATGCGAAGGGACCCTACAACCAGAGCGAAGGCCTCTTGTGATGTGACAACAATGACCGACTCCCAGCCATGGGCCTTTCCAGTCTCTTTCCTTTCTCCCTTCTAGCCTATCGCTGCTCAATGCAAGGTGGTGGGTCCTGATTCCCAGCCATGATCTGACCCCTTTCTGCTGCTGGTGCCGTGTAACCAGCATAGGAGAGCTCCCAGAGCAAGATATGGCTGATTATACCACCTCCTCCTTGCAGCCCCCGAGACGGGGGAATGCTGGGAATCGGTAGGGGGCTGTCAGGGACAAGGGGGTAGTGTGATCAGTGACTGCACTCCAGCTGTTCTGAGCAGTGGAGCTGCAGCTTATAGGTGGCTGCGGGAAGTGGGGACCCTGATATAAAGACACCATAGGCCCCTCCCTTTTGGGCTGAGCTTCCTTGGAGATGCTCCAATCAGAATCTGGCCCATTCTCTTCAGATAACGCAATCCCACTTGAAATGGCCCCGTTGATGGGGTCCCATTGCTTCCCTCAGATGTCATCTGCACTGTGTTGACTGGTAATAGATCTCACCGTTGGGGAGAAAAGGGTGCTGGGAAGAGAAGTGCCCTGTCGCACGCGGTTTTCCCTGGGTACAGCGTCTTGCAGACACGGCCAGTGGGCATCTTTGATCTTTATTTTATTTGAAGCTTTGTTTATTTCTGGAAAGGGAAAAATATGTTTTCACTCTTCTTTTCAGATGCCCCTCCGGGCAGTGGCACATGGACAGTGCCTGCTGGATCACTTCGAGCTGCCGCTTTCTCTGCAGGACCCAGAAGCTGTGTGCAAACCAAGAGCTCGACAAGGTGGCTATTTTCAAACTGAAACCATAAATATTTTTGGAAAATTTAACATTTTTACCAAAATGATCCATTTTCATTGGGTAATAACCCTCCCCCGCCCCCTTATGTGTTCACAGTACACCCAGGCAAACAGCTTTCCTGCAGTATCATGGATTCAAGATTGTAACAGGCCGACAAGGTCTGTCCAGGACACCCTCATCTTGGGAGCTGATGTTGGGAATTAAGTGGGTTCTCATGGATATGAGGGAGGTTAGGTTGGGTTGGGTGGGGTGGGTGTAGGTTCTCTGGGTATTTAGTGTGTGGGCTGTGTCGTCCTGAGGGTGAAATGAAAAAGAGGGATCGGAAGGTTTGAGATGAATTTCTTAATTTGTTTTTCATAAAGCCCAACTTCCGGCAGCCGGGGGTGAATTTGAATGTTGCACCCTGTGTTTGCAGAGTACATTGGGAATAGTACCTGCTAACAGGGATGTCACAGGAAATGGACAATGTCCAAAGCAGTCGAGTCGGCCAGCCCTCGGAACCAGCAACAGTGTCCTGCCAAGGCACCTCTGACCTGGCCATTAACGTCCTTCTAGTCCTAGGCCTTCCTTGCGCCACAGCTTGCAGTCATGGTGCACTTCTGATGATGTGGATAAACTAGCGCTAGGGATTAGGGTGAGCTCATCAGTGTGGTTTATCTCCATGGAAACCTGGGTTGCTAGAGGCTGGAATAACCAGTCTTCAGAGAATATTTTATTCGGAACCAAAAGATAATTTGGAAGTGTTTAATAGCATTACAACCTGGAAATAGCTCCATTAATCTTCGCCTTTACTAAAATCCGGAGAAACGAGAGCCTGGAGATTAACTGTGTGATAACTAATCTCACTCGACCCAGGTGTAGCTTCATTCTGCTCAGTGGTTTGAGCAAAAGCACAATTGGGCCCTTCGCTTTTAAATCTCTGTGCCCTGGTATCAATAACTCTTTAGACACACTCCAGCCCAGTGGTTCTCAAACGTTTGCATTGCTGACCCCTTTCAGGCATCAAGTCTCTGAGTCCGACCCCTCCTTAGACATTAAAAACACATGTTTTTATGTTTAACACTATTATAAACAGCAAAGTGGGGCTTGGGGGTGGAGGCTGACCGCTCACGACCCCCATGTAATAATCTTGTGACCCCCTGAGGGGTCGAGAACCCCTGTTCTAGCCTGTGGGTAATATCTGTGAATCACCATCACTACTCGGTAGTGTAACTAATCAGCACACTAGTGGCTTCCCGGCCATTGTTGGTTTTCCTCTGCTGGAAGCAAAAATTCTGACTCAGAACGAGTGTAAAGGAACCTATTGTCAAGAAGAACTAAAAAATATAAAGGCGCCTTCGACGTCTAATATTTTTCATATGGGGCAATCCCTAAAGGAGGAGGGGTAGGGAGACGGAAAGGACTTTGAAGCCGTGCAGCAGAATGATCCTCTACGTTATACCTTAATGTTTCACTCCGAAATTGTTCAGCTATAAAGTGCCCCTTTATGGTTCTCTTGCGCTCTGGGATGAATGGGGCCCTGTAGCCTCGCTGTGCGGTCTGGGGCCTGCAGGTAGTGATTTATTTTCATTCTCACACAGTTAGCGAGGGCGGTGGGGGTGGGGTGGGGCTTGCAATAGGAGAACAATATCAGTCATTAATCAAGACTGGTTAAAGAAAACCGCAAAGCCAGTATAAAGAGAGATGTAGGATTCAGAGCCTCTCGGCAGTGTCATCTGGATTGAATAAGGGATGAACCCACGTGATATTGCAAAGACACTAGCTGCGCTGGCCCCTCCTCTTGGTACAAATGACAAATATACAGATGGCCTGAGGGAAGGTTTGAAACACTGGAACTGGGCTTCCCCAAACGGCGTCCAAGTCCCTTTCACAAAGCCGGAGGGCTACCCCCTCGCATCCCGACAGCCGGGACTCAGAATCACTGGGCCGCCCTAGGTCTTTGCGAGGTTGGAAGGACAATAGCCATGGAGATTTGGGGGGAAATAGCTGTCTCAATTGCCCATCCCCTGCTTACCACAAAATTGCCAAGCCCTGCAAATATGTCACCGCGTAGAGGTCAGTCGTTCATCAGAAGGTTTAGAGCTGTGAAATCTCCATTGAGCTTCCAGGATCTGCTAGTTTTCCAAAGCTTGCCGTTCGTTTTTCTCGCCTGAGCATATCCCTGTGTTGCACTTTCAGAGCCAAGAGACTATTTCAGTTTCTGATTTTTTGGGGCGAGGGGGAGTTGTATAATCCTCTGAATGTGCTTCGTAATGCTGGACGTGAAAATCATCCAGTTCTAGGCAGATGTATAGCTAGGAGGGCGTGGGAGTAGATACAAATATCAGCTGTATGGTCTGCCATTGGGGCCCAATCCTGCAAGGCGCTAAGTGCCTCGTGAGGGGTGCCAAGCACCTTCTGCTCCCACTAAAGCAAACAGGAGCTGAGGGCACTTGGCACACTGCAGGATTGGGCCCTTCCCTAATAATGATTAATTGCTTTCTAATGAGCCAGAGAACCAGATCTAATGCCTGAAGAGAACCATAAGCTTGAGGATCAAAAAGGTGTTCTGTAACTGAGGCTAGTAGTTATACCCCATGGTAACATCTTTGATTTGACACTTTCCTTCTGTGGCAATATAAACATGACGCGACAGATCTTCCAATGGTGTGAACTGCCGTGGCTTCAGTGAAGTCAATTTACGCCAGTCAATCGTTAGAACATAAGAACGGCCGTACCGGCTCAGACCAAAGGTCCATCTAGCCCCGTGTCCTGTCTGCCGACAGTGGCCAATGCCAGGTGCCCCAGCAGGAATGAACAGGCGGCTTCCACGTCTCAGCTACATTCTCCTGTAACGCTGTTATCACTCCTCTGAGTGTGTCGGCTTTTACTACTGCAGGGAGGCCAGGCTTCCCTTAATGCACATCGGCGGAGATGAGCATTTGTATCCAAACCTCTGTCCTGGGAGAGGAAAAACAACGCTGCACTTTAACTGCCCCAAGTCAGACACCCCCGTCCACTCTTGTGACATTAATGGAGTTATACTGGGAATGAATGTGTCCTGCTGCCCCTCCCCCCACCATCCCCGTGCTCCTAGCCAGAGTACAGCACTCAATGCCTGATTTATTACATCTCCCCAGGTCTCAAGAGCTTCAGCCTGATTCCTTCTTGATAACATTTCTACATTGAACAAAGAGTCCCGTTTATAACTTGAACCAAGGAACTAATAATAATGCCTCGCTCTTATCTGGCAGTTTTCAGCCGTAGATGAAAATGACTCTGTCCCTTTGCATCCATCCAAGAATTTTAAGGTCCTTCTCTGAATCTCGGAACCCTTTACTGTTCTCCTATCACTAGTGCAAATCCGAGCTTTACGCAACGGTAGTGGAGAAGAAGGAAGGGTCATGAGCTTCGCTGGGTTTCCTCTGTCACCATGCTGCTCTTTAGCACGGAGCCCCGTGGCCAGACCCTTACCGAAGCAGCAGTGGGTAGAATGTGATTTTATTGTTCTATAAAATATCCTGGAGGAGCCCAAACCATTTAACAAAATATGTGTGCACACATGCAGAGGCAGAGCATTGAAATGCAGCCACTTCTGGGGGTGGAAGGCAGCAGTGACTGGCGCACAAGGCACTGAAGGGCAGGGATGTTTTTGCTTTCCAGAGCTCTAATTCAAAAACCTATTCGTATACGACATTTATGTCCCCAGAGAACCTCCGGGTTTAAAGTCTCGTTTGAAAGACCCTAATATCATAAACTGTGGGACCAATTTGCCCTAGAAGGGTCCAGGGCTCAGTGGGTCCTGCTGGGATGGGACTGTGCTGTTTCGGGACATGCTTTGCTAGCTATTCCACCCCTGGTACTAATCCCACTAAGCCAAGGGTCGGTAACGTTTGGTACGCGGCTCGCCAGGGTAAGCACCCTGGCGGGCCGGGCCAGTTTTATTTACCTGCTGATGCGGCAGGTTTGGCTGATCGTGGCCCCCACTGGCCACGGTTTGCC